ACAAGAAATATATGTCACTTATGTGTTCAGTTGTGTATTTTAATTTTAATTGTATTTTTATGTTTCATGGTTTCAAAGCAAGGTTTTTTAAAAAAATGGATTCTGCGTGAGAGTAGTCCAGAATGAGCTAGAAAGATTGGAATGTTGTTGACAGTGACTATTATTTCAATAGCTGTGTGAAAGTTACCATCAAACGAAATTGTCTGAATTACATCATAAACTTCTTTTGAAGGAAAGCATGGAGCAAAGGAGACAAAAGAGTTTGAAAGCATGACATTTTTTTTATTTTAAATTAATTTTGCTTTTTACCATAGTGATCTAAAAAGTTAAGTCAGCCATTTGAACTTCAAACATCCAGCAAAGGAAAAATGTTGGCTCATACAGTAGTCTCAAAAAAAGGAAAAGGACCTACATGGCCAAGAAATTTTAACAAGTCACAATGCTGTATTAATTTACTCAAAAGAGTGCCTCCCCTGAAGTGAATGCCGCACTTGAATAAGTACCACAAGTACATTTGTAGAAAAGTATTATAAGAATTATACCCTCCTAGCAATAATGAAGTGCTCATGAATTTTAATAAATTTTTTACATATTTTACTAATATCAGATTAGAAGGAGACGTAGACAAAATGGGTCTTTCTTTGTGTTGCAAAAACCATTGTTGGTTCACATTTGTGTTATGGCGTGGACATTATTCATTGTCTTTTCATTCTGCTTTAGTACTAAGTCAATAATTTTTGGAGATCACACCCATCTGCAACACCAAGAGACTACCAAAATAGTTAACAGTTGTTCTTGGTGTCATCAAAAACCATAACTGTTGGTTCACATTTTGTGTTATGGTGTGGGTTATCAGTCAGTGTCCTTTTAATCATTTGTATTATGTCATTTGGTGACTGGCCCGTCTGCTGCAACAAGAAACTACCCTCAAATTTTTGCCACATGCTTTGTGCTGTTGTAATCAAAATATTTTGAATAATATTAAAACAAACAAAAAGAAAGCAATCTCACACAGTACTGAGAAGTTTTACAAAGTGTTGGTAGTCTTCTATGGTCTGACTTACCTATCAGTGTTGCAAGAGAGCAATGAGGAGCAGTAGGTTTAAATTCTATCTTAATGATGTATTCATCATTTCCAGTCTCATGAATTTTAATAAATTCCTCTTCAATGACACTTAATTCCTCAAGTGTTTGTGGTAACTCTGGGTCCTAAAATAAATCAATGAATTAAAAATTCCACCTAAAAAGAGTAATGCCTAGAGACATTTATTTATTTTATATTAATTTTTTGTATCTTAACAGAGCTCCATGAGCATATAAAGCACGCATGAGCAAAGCCCCATACCTAAGAAAATTTGGTAATCTATCCATCCAAGAAATGTTGGTAATCACAACCAAATGTTTGGCCGTCTGCACCACAGGGAAACCAATGTGAAATGTCAAACTTTCTAGCTAGTGTGGGAGCCTGTAACCTGTGTTTAATTTGATAATAGACATTCATATTATGGTCAATTGACAGCTGTCAAATCAGGTATCCACTGACCAGAGTCACATGAATGTATTGTGGACTCAGGTGCCAACTCATGTTTTGCACAACTTCAGTCAAACAAATTTCAAGGACTTCCCAAGGAAAAATTACAGTTTTCAGGGACTAAGATTTATTCAATAAATCGGTATTCCTTAACCCTCTTTTAAACACCTTACTGGCTAAAACACTTTATGGCAGTTAATGAAGTCATTTCCAATTTTTACTTTTTCAGCCATGGTTGATCACATTATTTTAACTACTTTCCGTCACAACACTTTGCAAAAGCGCAACAGTTACTGGGTATGACTTGCAGGTGCATCTGAGGTATAGAAATAGCAGTTGAAATAAAGAAACAGAAATAAATATTGTCAGTGCACAAAAATGTTTTAACGTTACCCGTGAGTTTTACAGGTTCTTACAGTGAGAATGAGCCAAATTTTTCATGGCGAAATAATGTAATAATTTTCATAGAAAATGATGTGGCATAAACAAGGTACATGTATTGAATTCCAAGGACTATTCAAGACCTAATAAAGAAATCAAGTATTTTTCAAGGACCTTAATCGAATTCAAGGACTTTTCAAGACGACAACTACAATTCAAGATTCTTTTCAAGATTCTACAAACCATGCAACTCATCTAGGTCACATGTTTCCCACTGACTAGTCGTAAGCTTTTAATTGACTGCAGGGTCAAGTCTATGTCTTTCTGTCAGTGGTTCTCCCCTAAAGTTAAATATAGATTTGTGGATTTCTTTGCAGAGGTTTCAAGTCCATTGCCTGAGGTAAATTTAAAATGTTTAAACAGGAGCTTCGCTTTTAACTCTAGCTAAGTCTATATATTTATGAGAATTTCAAAAACAAAATAATCCCTGACCTGGTTTTTTGAACAAACTTTCTCAGAGTCCTTCGTCATTATAGGAATGCAAGTGCTTTGCTCACATTTTTTTTTACAACCATAGCTCTGCTTTTCCAGTTCAACTTATGGGGAAGTCTAGTATTTCACTGCCAAATAATTAAAGGAGCTACAATTCTTCAATTTTTTTCTTCTTTTATACAATTTAAATAACCTACAATGTATAGAGATGGTAAATTGACTTCAGTAGAGAGTGAAGAAAAATGTGAATCATGTCCATTATTATGGGAGCAAATCTAAACATTTTTCTCTAATTTTTTCTCAGCAGGTAAAGTGGAAGTGATGAGTATAGCAAAAATAATTTTGTAGTCTCCTCAGAGTTTTGATTGCCATGGGTTGACCAGGGGCATTAAGAAGGCGGTCATATTTTTTTAAATTACCATCTTTCTTTCTGAAGTAACTTACCCTAATATCCTTTACAAGGTCTAAAAATAAAAAAAAAGAGAGAGAAGAGATTAAACAAACAGTGTATTGTACTGAAGCTTTTAAAATTCAGTTTAATGTGGCCAGAAAAAAGAATTGCAAAGAGCCTGGATCCTAGTCTCAGAAAATTGGTAACCTCTATTGNTATAGAGATGGTAAATTGACTTCAGTAGAGAGTGAAGAAAAATGTGAATCATGTCCATTATTATGGGAGCAAATCTAAACATTTTTCTCTAATTTTTTCTCAGCAGGTAAAGTGGAAGTGATGAGTATAGCAAAAATAATTTTGTAGTCTCCTCAGAGTTTTGATTGCCATGGGTTGACCAGGGGCATTAAGAAGGCGGTCATATTTTTTTAAATTACCATCTTTCTTTCTGAAGTAACTTACCCTAATATCCTTTACAAGGTCTAAAAATAAAAAAAAAGAGAGAGAAGAGATTAAACAAACAGTGTATTGTACTGAAGCTTTTAAAATTCAGTTTAATGTGGCCAGAAAAAAGAATTGCAAAGAGCCTGGATCCTAGTCTCAGAAAATTGGTAACCTCTATTGTGATTAGCCACTTGTGATTTTTTGCCAAAATGTACCTGGCCCAGAATTTGCGTGTTTTCTTTCTAGTCATAAGGAGGGATTTTAAGGCTTGAAAATGGAAGATAGTGCTGCACTGGTTTTAGACTTGATCACATTATTCAGTTACACATAGTATAAAAACTATAGCACTTATTAAGGTCATAATATGAGATATCACCAGTGTTACAAAAATTAAGGCACAAATTTGAGATTCGATTGCAAAACCATAATTTTATGAAGATTGTTACTTTTGAAAAGATGATGTAGCCAGTCTAATAAACATAGACATTCTCAAAGCTCGTTTTGTTGTCTCTGGCATTGGGAAGTGCCACCTCTGCATTGCAGAAGATCTTATGTAAAATAATTTAACAATTAATGAATGAGGCTGAGTATCTTATGAAGAATTATGGAGATCAAAGAGGGTGTTATCCGTCGAGGCCGTAGGCCGAGGCGGATAACACCCTCCGAGATGGGGAACGGGTATTCAACATCAGTGTTTTCCCTCTGGATAACGAATTTGACATGAAAATAGGCTAAAACCTCAAATCCCCCTGAGTATGCCGGTATGAATGGTGCATTACGGAATTTTCAAATTTTCTTATCAATATAAAAAGAAGGGTGAGCTTCTGAATAAAATTCCGTGTACAAAACTTGTTTCTCGAGGATATCTATTTAATATTGTTCTTACCAAAAATTTCTTGTGCGAGCACCAAGTTATCAACACAGCTGTCTGAGACAGTAGAGGAATCTTTTTCTTCAGACATAACACGTACACACTGCTACAAATCCGCCATTTTGAATAATGTTGCGCGGTCTATGTCCACTGGGGACGACATTACCTGACGTTTGCGGTGACCTGGGAACAAAGTGATGCACGTCAACCGGAAGAAAAACCGGAAGTGTTTATATGACACAACGCTCCCCAACGCTTCCTGAATTTGGGCAAGAATTCTCTCAGATCCTCTCTTTTACAAAGTATACATATACTCTCTAGGGAAGGCCTCTTAACAAAGAGCTATTGGCTAGTTTTTTTAATGTAGGTCAAAAGTCTCTTTCTTTCCCCGATACTTTTTAAAAAGGTTTTGCATAGTTCTAAAATGGTTCTAATTGTGGGTAAGGGACTCAAGCAATTTTATCACATAGAATTCTAAAACCACTAGCTGCTTCACAAATTGCTTCCTTTAAATGTTTTTCGGGCCTTAGTTTTCCAGGTTTTTATTTTTCGGGACTTAACTTTCCGGGCCTTAGTTCTCCGGAGTTGTTTACCATTTACACGAACTTCCCTTCCTACCCGGTTCTTGTTAGCCTGTTCCAGGCGTTCGGATAATGGAGTGCAGCGCGAAGGAAGAGAGCGAGAAAAAAATAAGGAGGAAAAAAAGGAGGGAGTTCCCTCGCTCTCACCCCTACCCCATCCCCTCGTTGTTGTTGTTTTTTTTCTGCTCACATCTGTTTGCGCTGTCCCCACGATCTGCACGCCTGGAACAGGCTAGGTTCTTGTGTATAAACATAGAACAATAAAATTAGACATGGTGGGCCGGAGAACAAACGGTTAAAAATTACATCCAAATCAGCTGAACAGACTAAAAAGAAGAGAAGAAAAATTGCATCGCGTCAAATCACTGTCCATATTTTCTGAAGCTTCCCAAACGGATGGCACGAATCCAAACCGGAAAACCGGAATTACCGGTTTTAACCTGTAAATGGTAAATACCCCGGCCCCGGGTATAAACTGTTAGAACGTAGCTTTCCAGTAACTTCAACTTGCTTCAACCAACAAGATTGATAATAGTTAGAGTTACGATAAAGAGAAGTATCTGATATTCGTTTGAAAAGAATACACTTGGAAGAAAACGCCGCGTGGAAGCCACTACCGTAAAATTCCGAAAATAAGCCCCGGGGCTTATACTTCTCAAAGGCCCTTTTTGAAGGGCTTATATTTTGAGGGTCCTATTTTCAGAGGGGCTTATGTACGGAGGGAAATTTGCGTTTCAAAATCGATTGGCCAGCTCGTAGTGGAAAGGAAATTTACCATTTTTACTTGTTTTACTTTATGGAGGGGCTTATTTTCGGAATTTTACGGTATCTTTGAAAAATGAAAAATGATCACTCGAAAGAATCAATAACCTAACCTTTGAATCGGAAAACATAAACAGGAAGTTTCACATATATTATAAACAGCAGAATAATGCTGGCACGAAACCCAAACTTGTGATCTTGGTATTGAATAACAGCTGAAACAAAGTAGCCGTGCACTCGGAGTACATTCAGACTCCAATAGCAGTCAGAGCAAAATGACCTCTCAGAAACAGAGTTTCCCGTCTTTTGCCTCGATTTTTTCTGTTGTATCGATTATATTTTACTGCGCCGGTTTTCTGAGAATTGAATTGGAGCTGAACGAACAGAAGAAGAGAATACAAGCCCTTGAAAGCATCGAAGAGACTAAATCACACGCCAACATTCTTGACCTCGTAACAAAGAGCAAGGGAAGCACTCCTGGTAAGTTTTGACAAAAAATACTTAAAAATGCAAATTTTCTTCGAGATTTCAATGCTAAAGACATCTGCTAAACGAACCTGCTCGTTTAGTCATTTTGAAACGACTGCCGAACAAAGAACCCAGCTCAACGAGGTCGATACACTTATTTCTAGTTTTGTATTGACGTCAGGGGCACCCAACGAAAATATAGTTCAAAACCACTTAAACATAGAATTGTTGAACGTATTTTAGTATTTAAACGGTAGATACAGGCATATTTTCATCCCCTAAAACTTTTTCATCTGTTCGGATTTCCTAGCTGAAAGGGTAGTGATCCAAAAATTATGGGGATCAAAACTTACCTGTTCAAAAATTTCAGCTAGTAAAGGGTCCCGAAAATTCTAGGTGATCTTTTTAGGGTAAAAATCCGTTAAAAATGGGCAATTATACCAGTTTTTAGATGTTCGAAAATCCCAAGAAAGGCAGGCAAGCAAGAAATTTTACAACAAATGTTCCGAAAATTCTAGATCTCAAATCGTCTTCCGAACAGATATTTTCCAAAAATCAACGTTGGGTGCCCCTGTTGACGTGAATCGTTCACCCGCCGAGTCAAGAGAACTGATAACCGCCGTCAAAGATATGTCTTCTCGTGAAGATGACTTATTTCTATTTGTTGTTACTGCTGTAGTCGCATATAAGCGATCGGAGCGCGCGGTTTGATAGATTCGAATAAATAAAGCAGTGTTATTGACTGGATCTTAGATTAAAATACGTCTTAATTATATAGTTATGATATTTACGGCGTCAGACACCTGACATGAATAACAGCGTGTTCCACTAATCAAAGCCGTTATTTTTAGGCTTGCCCACCGAGGCCACTCTAAGGGTAGGGGACATAGACCTCGCTGATGTGATCTATTTTCTATCATCACGAAAAAGTTCGATTGGATCATCCGTATGCCTTACCAAATAGTTCTTTTAACCTGTTTTCTATGTGAACGGCAGTAGCTATCGTGTTACATTTTGGACTTAACAATAAATCAAAAGTTAGAAACGTTCAGCTTGTGGACAATACTAACCAAAGGGCGCGCGGCGGAGCCTCCATTGCTATAGGAGATGGAAACCTGTAGATGCGAGAACATTTGGTTATAATGTGAGCGTACGACCGACCGACCACCCGTACGGACTGGCAGGAAGGGACTAAGTAGATTCTACAGGGGAGGAGACGGGGATCCCAGGATTGCAGCTTGCGTTTGTCTTGGTGAAACGTTTACCAGTTCACCCAGAGGCAGCAGCTGGAGTTTTTCCAGTAAAGATATTGAATTTCGTTTGTTTTACTTCCGAAAAAAAACGTAAAAAATATAGTTTTAAGCATGTGCTTTTAGCTTGGTCACACTTTTAAAATATTTTCACACAATTGTCCATTCTGGGCCCGATCGAAACAAAACATAGTAAGGTTATGGCGAACACAAGAGTCGGCCCAATTTTTCTTCTAGTTCTTTTCTATTTATTAGGGAGCTTTAGCATCCACGACGGCGACGGCAAAGAGAACGTCAAAAAATAAACAATAGGTTTACAAAAAATAACAACTTTGCACGTGCATCACTCTTTTTTTGTACACTTCTTTGTCGTCACTGCACGACTACGAAGTGAAAAACTGTGTGAAAATGCCTAATTGTACGTTTTACGGAGGCAACGACGAATTTTTTCGTCCTCTTTCTAGACTTGAGTGCGTTCCCAAAGAAAACAAGCCCTGGAAAATTCGCCTACATTTGCCATTTCCAGCTAATTGGAATAAACTCGACAAATTTTGGAGAAAAACGAATTCATTTTAAATGTGACGTTTTCGCTGCCGTCGCCTTCGTCGATGCTAAAGCTCCATATTGACTCCAGAACTCGGAACCTGTAAATTGGCTGCTACCAAAGAGTATCGTGCATTAAAATGCTTTTATCTTGATAGGAGAGTTTTCATTTTAGGTGTCTCTGTGGGATATTTGTTCTTTATCAACCAGCCCTAACCTGAAAAGGAGGATTCGTTTCAGTGGCTTAAAGTTTATTATATTAAAGTTAATTGTAAGAATACATATAAACGGGGCCTTCGCTTTTAGTCCCGGCTAAATCTATTTAGTAAAATCCAACTAGTGGTCTATTATCAATGCTGCGTTCTGGTTGGTTGAGCTACTACTAGGCTATATGTTATAGCACATTAGTAGCGAAAAGCGCGGGCTTTTTGGCGGCAAAAAGAGATTAAGTCTAGCTTTAACTAGCTAAAATTTTTTTATTCGCGATATTTGTGACCAACTAGTTCGATTTTACTAAAACGATTATTCCTCTTGCCCTCATCATACTCAAACCTCATGGCCTCTGAGTCAATAGCCCATTCGGCCTTCAGCCTCATGGGCTATTGACTCATAGCCCATTTGGGCTCGAGGAATAATTGTTAAATATTATCTTTTAGCAGCATTATCATCGCTGCTAGCATCGCAGGACCCGGCAGGAATAAAAAGCGAGTATGTTTAGCGGAAAACTGCCTTGCGACGGTAATTGACAGGGGCACCCAACGTTAATTTTCGGAAAATATCTGTTCGGAAGACGATTTGAGATCTAGAATTTTTCGGAACATTTATTGTAAAATTTCTTGTTTGCCTACCACTCCTAGGATTTTTGAACAACTAAAAAAAGGTATAATTGCCCATTTTTAACGGATTTTTATCCCAAAAAGGTCATCTAGAATTTTCGGAAGCCTTTTTTCTGGCTGATATTTTCGAAAAGGTAAGTGTTGATCCCTATAATTTTCGGATCACTAGACTTTCAGCTAGGAAATCCGAACAGATGAAAAATTTTAAGGGGATAAAAATATGTGAATATATACCGTTTAACTACTAAAACAGGTTGAATAACGCTATGTTTAAGTGGTTTTGAACTATGTTATCGTTGAAAAAGATTTCAACTGAACTGACCTTGATACGCTTATCAACACTCGCTGAAACTAGTTTCTCAACGCTGTTACAGCACCAAACCCAGCTAAAAAACACCAGGAACATCAAGCGTGTAACAACATGGTGAGTAAAAACGTTTTATTGCTGATCTTTAACCAAGACTATCAGGTGGTATACACTGGCCTACTAAATGCGTAAGAAAATCAATTATTTCTCAATATTATAGTGCACTGAAAGGGAAGGTAACGCGAAGGAAATTGGGAAAAAATAAACGATATAGCTGTAAATAATTATTGTCTAAGGCACTAACCTTAAACTAAAACCACCCCTTGACCAGTAAATTGTTTGGTGCTTGACTTTCTTAGTTTTGCTGACCATAATGTGACGGATTAATTATTGCTTTTTTTAGACCCTCAGTCCACCAAGCAACGAAGGAAAAGACGCTCTGCTGATAAGATCAAGAACAAGACGGACAGTAAAAACCTAGAAACAACAATGCAAAAAATTTTGTCAGAATTGAAACAACATCATTCATTATCACAGAGTGGCACGTGTCTTCCAGGCCCTCCCGGACCACCAGGTCCGAGGGGAGAGAAAGGGTCCAGGGGCAAAAGAGGACAGAAAGGAGACCAAGGTATTGTGGGGTCGCCTGGAATGAGCGGCAAGCAGGGTATCATTGGACCATCAGGTCCAAAAGGAGATGTTGGAGTCAAGGGACGAAAAGGAGACATGGGACCTGCAGGCATGCCGGGAGGTAAAGGAGAACCTGGTGAATCGATTTCAGCTCCTGTTGTTGCTGTGTCTCCTAAAACGCTCACAGTTAACGAAGGTGGATCAGCCTCGTTTCAGTGCTCAGTGAATGGTAATCCTAAACCTGTAATAAAATGGAGTAAACTGAATAGTCTGTCACAAATGAGTCCTTCAACGGTATCAGGAGGAAAGCTGCTGTTAAAAAATGTGGCAGGAAATGACGCCGGAAAATATAACTGTTCAGCGGTCAACATCTTAGGAAAGGCGCATGCACTGGTACAACTTGTGGTAAATGGTAAGTTTGTTGTGACTCGGGTGATTGTATTGATAGAAAGTCGTCTTTTGTTATTAAAAACTAATTAACATATTACTCAAAAATATTTACACCCTTCTTTTTTTTCCGCAAAGGTTGCTGCAAAAGAGGCCTCAGACAAATTTAAATGCTGATGACTTTTAAAATCTTTTTCATTTACTTAAATGAATGATTGCTCTAAAATACTAAATACCTAATAGATACGTACCTTTTTTAGTTAGGAAAAAAAAAAGCCTGATAATTAGAAGTGCTCCACTTATTCCGTGGGATGCCTGTGGCACTCCCACGATAAAAATCCGGTTAGGTTGTACCCAAAATTGCAAAGCCAGCCAATAGGATTGCCTAAAATCTTTATCGATTATCTCTTCTTCCAAGCCGACCAATCAGATTGTACAAACTCTGTATCGATTTTTAATCGATTTGCTTCCTCTGAAAAACGTTGAAATCAGAACGTTCCTTGCCAAACTTGTCGCTGTTGAGTTTTCCCACTCGTCGTTTAGGATGGCTTGTTAACCAACGAAATCCTTCGGGATACTGGCAAGTCACGAAAGGCGACCTAAGCCAAATTATTTCTTCCCTTCATGATTCTTTTTTGTTTAGGTCTAGCTTTTTCATAAGGTTTTAGTAGCGTCTGGTTGCGGGCCACGATTTCCGATAGATTTCTCTATTCGGAGTTCGCCAGTTTTTGCCGAGCACAGCTAGAGTTCAGTTTTTTTTTCTTTTCATATCGAAAACACCTTGACGATGGGAGGTTAAATCGCCTAAATTTTAACACGTACCCTTGACGATTGGCGGTGAAATTGCGAAAATATTGACCTCGATCGACGACTCGCTTTCGGCATGGATTGGACTTCTGGATGGGACATGGATCAGGACCTAAGTAAACTTATTATACCTTGGAATCAGGGATAATCATTGGAACTATGTTAACTTTGAGACCTTGGAAACACATTGCAATTAAGGCCCAGTTCAGACGTCGTGTTTCTGCCGTGCCGAACTTAATTGTAATTTTGTTCGACTGTAGCACGGCAGGAAAACAACTTTGATTCAGACGTCGTGCCAGAGTCGAACCAAATTCAGGATTTACTGATGCTTCGTAACAATTTTTCTCCCAACTCCCCGTGGGAACGCAATCTCGCCAAAATACATTAATATAATTTATGAATTTTGTTTAGCGCGGCAGAAGCACGACGTTTGAATCGCTGCCGTGCCAGAGCCGTGTAGCACGGCAGCGCTTGTCGAACTTAATTCAAAAGTTTGATTCAGACGCCGTGCTTCTGCCGTGCTTTTGTCGAACTTAATTCCTGAATTTAGTTCGGCACGGCAGAAGCACAACGTCTGAACTGGGCCTAAGTTTTAACCGCATCAAGAGCATCTTGGAATATTAAACTTTCATCTTGGATTAAAACATTGGAACGTTATCGAACTTTGTAACCCTGAGTTCGACCCTGGATAAAGCAAGCGGATGTTTTGTTTTGTTTTGTCCCATTAACCTAAAACTACAATGTTTATTTCTCTTTGAAAAAGTTACCTGTGGCAACTTACTACCAAGATATGACGTATCTTTATACATATAGCTCCTGTTCAGGTTAATCAGAGAGCATTATGCGCATGTTCTCCATTACTTGTTCCGTTAACATTCCAATTCACACGGGTAAACCTTGTTTTGATGCAAAATAACTTCTTTTTCTTATCCAAATCGTGCTACGAAAATAACTACATAGCGATGGATCAAAACAAGATCAACTCCATCCTTGCGACCACTGACAACTATAAATTTAGCTTGCGTAGCTGAGGTGTCAAAAGGGGTAGGGGATAGGGAGGAAGCAAAAAGGGGATGTGGATTGAGGAGAAATAGTAGCCTGCCACGCAGGCTACTATAAATTCAGTCATAAGCACATTAAACCAACCCATACAGGTAACTTACTCATCGATGCTCATAACATGACACATCTTTCCGGTTTCCCTAATTTTTCCAAATTCAGATAGAACGCCATTATGCTTCCACAGACCAACGCATCCCACGGAAATGACTTTAGGCGTCTTGTTGAGCTAACAAGCCAACCGGAACCGGAAGCTGCTTATCTGTCACCGAGGTCAAGTGTTCGAACGATCAAAATTGATATATTTTTCAGGCTTTCTTTTGCCAGCTGGGAAAGCTACGGCTATTACCGTGATGATCGATATCGTCTTTTACATTGTATAATCTCGCTTCTTTTGCTGAACCCTGCTTTCTTGGTGTCTTTTGGGGCAATGAGCATCTCATTTTATTCATGTAAGACAAATAAAAGAGGTGAAGTTCCTCTCAAAATATTAAGTGCATATTTCCGCAATTTTCAGAACTTGTGTTGTCGAAGTAGGAACAGCCTTCGAGTCCCTAGTATCACAGAAAACTTTCCGAGTTAAGCATCGAGTGACGGTAAATTTAGCAAACCATGGTCTGATTTTTTTCCTTTTCACAGAGAAGTCGAAAAAAAATATAATATATTTCTTTATTTACGGTCGTTTTGTTGTTGCTTGAGCACTTTTGTCTAGACTATAGTCTAAACTAATAAGGAATTTTTTCAGTATCGTTCAGATTTCATCACATTTGATGCTGATTCTAGTTTCAAATTTCACAATTTAAGTAATTTTCTTTGCAGTTCGGCCTCAGGTTTCCCTTCATCCGGGACCTCATCACGCTATTGAAGGAAGTAGTTATACTCTCCCATCCTGTCACGTGACTGGGTATCCCGCACCAGTGGTTTCATGGAGAAAGTCATCCGGTCCATTACCCCAGGGACGGGTGAAGTACGACAACAGTACATTACAAATTCTACATGTTCGTAAAGATGACTCTGACCTCTACTTCTGTGTGGCATCGAACCTGCTAGGACGCGTTGAAAAGAAAACTTTCTTAGTTGTTGTTTCTCCTCCACGATTCTCTGTCAAACCACCTGCTAAAGTAATCGCAGGGGTTGGTGGTAGTTTGAAGTTAAATTGCAGCGCTACTGGTGATCCACAGCCAGTCATCAGCTGGAAAAAACAAGGAGGGCAACTGCCAGTTGTGCGGAGTCAGCAGATCAATGGTTCTTTGGTAATACGAGGCATAACAATGAATGATAAAGGGATTTACACTTGTGTTGCAGTAAATGCAGGAGTGTTTAAGTCGGAGACTGTTACCTTCATTGAAGTTAAGAAAGGTCTGTTACAAGTCATTTCTATAGTGTTATCTACAGTGTTAGAGTTAAACACTGTTTGACAAATAATGCAAAAGCTAAAGAACAATAACTGAAAATATCTTCCCGGTCACATCGCAAGCGTCATCATTTCGACATTTTCCAAAACAGCGGCTAAAGAGAATATGAAGGGAGGATTACAAGGATTTGAGAAAAAGTGAAAAGTTGTCAGTTGTTTATATTACATAATCAAAATCAGCATACAGTACAGAAACACTTGACATGAAACACCTGCGAGATCATAGGTTGTATCATTTGCGATATGATAACATTTCTTTTTGTAATTTATAGTACTACTTTTTATAATTCTTGTACGTCCTCGAAAGAACCTAGCGTGCGAGCTCTCGGAAGTTAATAGTTTACCAGCAAAAAAGATAATGTAACCCACATTGAGAGGTTAAATAACCACAATGTTGGTGGTTCTCTGTACCTCGTTGCTCAATTGTTAGACAGTTTTTTTTGCTTCAATTGTGTCTTATGATAAACGTCCACACAGGAGCCATAATCGGGGTAGGAGACCGCAAACGCGGGGTTCGAAATAATCAAATGTTCTATTTTTAGAACAAATTGCACTACCCTCAGGGACGTGTAATTAGAAAAAATATTATATTAAAGTATATTTCTAGGAAATTCTGCCGTTAGACGCTGGTTGAAGCCGGTGGAGCTGTATTTATCATGAATTCGAAGAGATATTTGAGGGAAATTAGCCATAATTATGTTGTCGTAGTTAACTTTTCGCCGTCCTTTTGGTCGCAAGTATTTTTTTTGTTTCGTCTAAACAGAGATATTCTTACCTCAAATTCAAAGGAGGCTATGTTGACAGAAATGGAATTTATTCATCTCCTACGGAGATATTTTCTAACGCCATTTTGTTTGTTTATCCTTTGTGCGGCGCCGTCGCAAAAAATGCGCGCGCGTCATGGCTCAATTTGTGCTAACAAAAGCACTTTTGACTATTTCGGTGGAACCAACCCCATCAGTGGACAAGGTATCTCGTTACAGTCTCCTACCCCGATTATGGCTCCTGGTCCACTGATGAATATAACTATAGCAAAAGTTTTTGTTTTTTCTTCGATTTTTTTCTGTATATTTTCAGGTGCTCTCACTTCATCCAGTATTCTTGGCAGCCTTGATAGCAAGTACTGGGATAAGTTGAATTCATATTTAGACCCAGTCCTTCAGAGTCCAGGTCGCAGCAGGTTTGTGAGGTGTTGGCACGCCAAGACAAATGGTTGGCTGGCATCAACATTCCACAGTAACTGTGATGGAAAGGGTCCCACTGTAACCATCGTCCAAGTCGGTAGTTACATATTTGGTGGATACACTGACAAGTCTTGGGGTGGTGAGTATCTGATTTCATAACAGACTTAATCGGAAAAATTATATAATAGAATGCACACTTAATAATTTGCCCTGCTAGCTTTGTGACTGGCACTTCTACTTTTGTAACTAGCAGTGATACTTAATAACCTTTCATGTAATGTGACATTCATTTGACTTCTTGTTTATTAGTCCTGGTCCAATCCTAGCAAGTATCAGTTGTCTGTGTCGCACACAGTTCATGTTATAGGTAATGTACAGTTCATTGCATATGGTGTAGAGCTCTATACTACAGAGTATCTTTGATGGAAATGGTCCCACTGTAACTATTGTTTTTGAAACATCGTCACTTAAAGCCCCTCCACTGGTAGCCGGATATTTCGAAAACGGAGCTATTCTGCCCGTTTAAAAAAAAAAACGCATCCACACATAGTGTATATAAATCATTCTAGCCCGTCCACACGGTAACGCTAAGACGATGGTAGGATAGAATCCCTCACGGGGCATGCGCTGTATGACGTATGACATCATCGTTTTAAAAGAAACCTCCGTTTTCTTCCGTCCACACGACAGCGATACGCCGGCGTTTTTTTTACAAAAATTCCACTTGGGACTGTTTTCGAAAACCTGCGTTTTTGGTGCCCGAACAATGCTGTTACAGTGTGCTTGTGGACGAAAGGCTAAAACGGAGAAAAAATCAGTTCGTTTTCAAAAACATCCGGGTGGATCTGGACAGGACCTAAGAGCAAGTAAGTAAATATTAAGTGTGGTTACACGTAACAACATGGTGAATGTTTAGCGTGGTATAACTAAAGGTTAAATTTCCACCACATGTTGTTTGTAGGTTCAGGTAATTTAGCAAAGAATAGCTTTCTTGCCTTGGGTTGCAAAACTCCCTTGCCAAGTTAGTACCACGTTAAAATGTTCCGGGCACTTTCTTTGTTCTTTTTGACGTATCCATGGATAATTTCCATCTAGCATTTTTTTCAATAAAGAGACTCGGTTTTGATAAACGTCTGCAGCCGGAAAATCTTCTCTAGTTGGCGGCACTTTCAATTTCTTCTTGAGGCAGTTTTCGAACAGAGGTACCACTGGCGGTGGCCTCTCTGCTTGCTTTCTTTCTGCCCATTTTCTCATGAGCTATGTTGAAAAAAAAAAACTGTTCAGTTGTCACAAAATTATAATAGTTTTGCAATTAAATAATACGTTATTAATTGTTTTAAGTCTTTTAAATCGTTGTTCAGAAAAAAAAGTGGACCTCCATAGTCTGTGTTGGGGGGGGGGGGGGGCCCCAAAAAAGTGTGCTGCACGTGCAAATTAAACCTATTGACCTTAGCATTACTTATAACTAGCCCCGGGTAACTAGCGACTATGAGCGATTTGCGTGGGTGTTTGGCTCGTTTGATAAGATTACGCTGAGATTTGCTATGAATATGCTATTTTGGTTTTGTCCGAGGATGGCGCGTTTCACACACTTCTATTAAGTCCCCCCCCCTCCCCGCGGTTTTTTTTAGGTCGTCGTTTTCTAGGTCATCCTTTTCTGGGTCGTCGTTTTCTAGGTCATCGTTTTCTAGACAACCTGAAATTAATGGCATCTGCTCTACTTTATCGACTGACAGAGCATTTTCTTTCTTTCTAGAATGACATGCCTTTACTGCAAAATAAGTTGAAGGAGCAATTACAGCAGAAGAGGCTTTAATGTGAACTTATAAACTAATATTCTAGCTAAACCTCAAAGAACTCAGGGAGTGGGGATTTTTACAGCGAGGGAAGGGCTAATGCCGATGGGAACATACCATTTCAAAATTCTCTGGACCCTCCCCTTTCAGTTTTTAAAAGACATTTTTGACGAAACAACAAGAAGCCCAGTCAAAACTCTGAGGGGCACTTAATTTGAATAAAAAATTTATTCCAACATTCATTCATTTTAATGTACTGTTAAAGAAAAGTTTTAAAAAATCTTGAACAAATCCATTGACCTGATGGGCAACCTTTCCCAAGAAATAACTTGTAGATATCATATAGATAAAGACTCCATAGTATCAATGGCTTCCAACCAAAGTGCATTTTCATTTGCAACCTTAATTAAATTATATTACAAAGCATAAGATAAATAAGCCTAAATAAATAAATAAATAAATATTATTAAATAAATAGCAATATTGATCCTTCTCCTCAAATGTGAAACGTAAGTATGGCGATTTTTACACTGAGTCTACACTGTACATGTATTCAATAAGGAACGTGATAATGTATATTGTCACCTAGCCTGGTGATCTGGGGCCATTCAAAGGATGTTATTCAGTAACATCCACGTGAAAGGTCCTTTACCCCCGCGGAGTAAGAAGAGTCTTGAAACTTCAAAACATCCTTTAAACGGAGACAGTCACATCTTCTTGTTTGAATCAATCGAAGGATGATCGAAAAAGCAAGACAAGACCTCGAAACGAACATCAGATCATCAGACAAATCAGAGTATACGATCGAAGCAGAAGTAGACATGAGTCACAGGTAAATATATCCCACGAGGCGAGCCTTACGTTATACGTTTTACGAAATCCGACCGAAGATTAAAGGGCCTTTCGACGGATGTTAACGATTGCTGACCGTTTATAAAGAGAAGGAACAAAATTGGCCCCAGAACAGTGCCCTGGGGGACACCGGATAGTTCAGGTGCCCACTTGGACGAAGCACCATTTACCACCACACGTTGCCTCCTACCAGTGAGAAAAGCCCGCAGCCAGTTGTTTAGTTTCCCAGATATACAGTAAAATTTTGCCTTAAGGGGGAGCATTTCGTGATGAACAGTGTCAAAGGTCTTCCCAAAATCGAGGAAGATCTCATCGACCTGCCCATTGATGTTAAGAACGCTTGCCCACTAACGAAGATATAACATGCATGGGTCTATATGAACCAAACACCACCAAAGTAGACGTCAAAAGAGTTAAGCAGTTTTTATGTGACACTGACTTCTTATCAATAGCTAAACTTACATTACTAGTGTCAAGACAAGTGAGTAGAAAAAAGAAAACTCGCAACAACTTAATTTCAATATTTCCCGTATCTTGAATTGGCAACTAGCCCCGTAGGAGGTTTATTTGACTTTAGTAAGTCTGATTTTTCGTGTTGGTGGTAAAAAACAAACTCGAACTAAGAATATATTTGTAGCTTGTGTTACTGCAAAATGAAGACTGATCTTGTATTTTTTCTCTTTTTGCATATTATAGCTTTCATATTTTAGCTGGGCATTGTGATTATTTTTCTCTGGTCTTTAGTCGTTGAAGCCTTTGACCAATATTTTTATGAACGTATCTTGTAATCTAAATTTTACATGTGTTTTCCACAGGTCCTCGTCGCTATGTCTCATCCAGTAAATCGTTCCTGTTCTCGTTATATAACATCAATGGCTACGCTCCTGTTAAGGTGAACATCATGCCAGGTCATCACAGTACCGCTATTTACACATGGTCCGGTTACGGACCAACCTTTGGTAGAGGACACGACCTGCACATATCCGGCAACGCTGGAAACAACAGCTATCCCTACACCAACTGTGGCTGGTCCTACCCCCTCCCCCCTGGGTACTCTCCATATCACTCTTCCTGTCAATTTTATGCGGATCCTACAATTTCACTCCCACTGATGTTGAAGTGTTTTACGAGATAACAACTTAGTGTGTTTATGCAAACTTGTTTGTTGATTTAGCCAACTTTCAAGGACCTTGTTTGGCAAGGCTAGAAATGAAAGTGATCACCTTGAAGCTCTTACATGAAATTCTAGTTTATTATTCAGGTGGATCTAGTGCCTACTTACAATACAATACAAGATGCCTCAGACTTTGCTTCAATAACTCATTGAAACTAAATAAATGGCCTCTACCACGTGTAAGGCTGTATATATAGCCTTACGTTAATTATAAACTAGAATATGATATGGCCAACTAATAACTATAATCCTACGCGTCAAATTAAGCATTTTAAGCAAAGCTCAAAATCAATCTATTATTCAGCTGTTCTTGAATGTTTCCACTTACAATTTTAAGCCATTTAATTTGACAATTATTAGCTATTGTCCTATCTCCACGTGGCCTCCCACACGGACGCTTTTAAGGGAGACGTGGGAAGGGAAAGAATACGACTTCCCTAAAAACGCCTGCGCGGAGGGAAGCTAATCTTTGCGACGTTGAAAATAAGTCCTTCCGATTTGCACTTAAGCTAGCCTTATCTAGTGTTGTGAAGTATTTTGAAAATTATTTTTAAGACGGATCTATCTTATCTTTTAAGTCTTGTTTTGTCCACGTACTGTTTTCCTGTTTTTATCTTTTGTTTTTACTGTACTTGAATTTATGCTTAGCTTGCGAATTTACTTATTGCCATATTAGGAATGTTATTCGCTTGGCATTGTCAGATGTTAGTTTTTTTACAGGTAGTCGTGTTTGTGGTGTTAGGGCTGACCTTGGGTTGGTTCTTTGGTACTAGTCTTGCGACTGTGCGTAGGCTTACCTATTCCCTAACAATGGCAAACCTGCTGCAATGTTAGCGATAAGATACATGTATACAATAGAAACTCTTCCGGTCAGCTAACCCAAACATGTCCAGCTTTGGCTATAAAACCACTACTACACTTGAGCTAGTAAGTAGAAGCAAGTAGAGAAGAGTAGAAAAGTAGAAAAGAGTTACAAGAGTAGGAAGATTAAGATTGTTAACAGAAGTCAAAGAAGAATAAAGACCAAGATGTAAATCAGATTCCTGGTAACTCATCATGTAACGAGCGAGTTGCTCGAACACACCCCCACACTAGTTTGAAAATCAGTTTGAAATTGACGTTAGGAAAAGATTTCTTTACATGTCAGAGGTAATTTTTTTCGGAAAAATGGAGCTTCCACATCTAATGTTATAGCGCGGAAAACGCAGTAATAACGTGTGTAATATTGTTTTTGAGTGGGGTATGTGTCACGGCTAAATAAATGGATGTCATATTGGAGCTGCAGATGAAAAAAATCGAAAAAAAAAAAAGATAATAATAAGAGATACATTTTTCCTAGTATCCTCATAAAAAAGTCATAAATTCGTAAGAAAAGAATTGATTAGTTAGAGAAGTTACCACTTACCATTTGTACTGAAGCCTTATGGTAAGAAGCTATTTAATCTGATTTTATATTTTGTTCAATGGATAAACATAATTTAGCTGGTTTGCTTTGTGACTGTTTCTCTATCATTCGCCGCTCAGCCAGTTTGGTGACAGTTATGGTTTAGGTTTCTGTCACTAGCTTGGTCTCCCAATTACCAATCGCGGGGCTGGAGGCAATTTCATTGAGATCGTTCTCCATTCCTTTTCAACTTGACATCGAACCGGAAAAACTGTAGCCTTCGAATACAGCCGTTTCTCCTAGCTCCTCTCCGCCAGGGAAGTTTCGCCTGGGGGACTTTTCTCCCGACGAAACGTCCTTAGTGGCGAGGAGCAAGGAGAAACGGCTGTATTCGCAGGCTACAATCGGCGACAAAATTGTTGAGACATTGTACTTAAATAGGGTGACTTCGGAGAACAAAAGAATCCGCACCCCTCCCCTGTCCCCTCCATTCAAAGTTGGGGTGTTTGTTGTTTTCTACAGGTAGCTAGAACAAGGGCACAACATTGTACGGAGGGGATGGGGGAGGAAAGCTATATTTCCTCCTTTTGAAGTTCCTAAAACGTCAAAAAGCCTACTTTTTGGCGAAGTGTCTCAACTCATTTTGTCGCCGATTGTCTGAATCGAAATCTACGTGCTGTTGTCCTATTAGCACCGGTTAGGAGACGGTAAGTAGTTGAGATTACTATATTCCCGGGTCGTTTTTCAGAAGATAGATAAGATACCCATATAATCCCTTTCCTGTGTTTTTCGAGGGAAAATTAGTTTTGACAATCTTTGTACTCGGTAGTGATTTCAAGTAATTACGCAGCATACCCACGTACCGAATGATTGATTTTCCTCTGGTAACTAAGTGTGATCGGTAGGAATCGATGGCATACAATATATTGTATTTGAATATATCCCTAGTAAGTTCGAAGTGTTTATTCGAAGTTTGGTTATTTGATAAAGGTGGGATGGACGATAAAATAGCCATGATTGCTATGCGCAGGAGAATTTTTAGGAAAAATGTTCCAACTTCTAATGCACAGCAAAGCTGCATAGCTTCGCTAAATCTGTGCAGCAAATTCGTTGCCCATATACCCATGAGGGTCTTTGAAGAATGTACTTTACAGTAGAAACTATGAGGTCAGGCGGAGACTGGCCACGAATAACCACGAGTAACCAACTTTCTTCTTAAAAGATAATTAGATTATTTTCTTTCATACTCATCGTGGTTACTCGTGGAAATTCCTCCTAAAGAGCAATTTTAGCCATTATAACTACTTTAATGCCTAGAAATCTATTAAGTTTTCTATCCTTTTCACTTTGTTCTTTGTTTCGATGCGTTTCGATAAAGGAGAGAATAAGAAATTGTGCCCGACGCGCCACATCGCACGATGTCAAGGCACGGTTAAGCTTGACACAAAATGTCACGCACTGAAAATAACAAAATCGCCTTATTGCTGCGGAGCGACCGTAGGGAGCGAGCAGCAACATAATCAGGATTTAAGGGAAATATATAAGGGGCAACGAATTCTCGAATTCATCACTTTTTACCACAATGCATTGCATTTAACCAGAGTGCATTGGGTCACGAACAACTCAAATAAAAACACGGGGAAGTTCTCATCGTTCGCTGGCTAGACTCGGAGTTTTCTTTGTAGCAAATTTTCTACAGCACTGTTAGAGGTCTTACCAAATTTAAGACACACAGGAGTCTTTCAGATGAGTACGATGATTAACTTGGGGATTGGATTTCAATTCAAGAGCCTTTGACTCGTCCAGGTGTTAAACCTGACGAGAAGATGAGCATTTGCTCTTCGACTCCGCAACACGGGGGAGATACAAATTCCAGCTTGCTAGAAGGTGATGTGAAAATGGGAAAAAGTCATGCCATGCTATTCTTAAGAAACCTGTATGAGCCGAAAATGGATGTGATTTTGACCATTCGCTTCAAAATAACAGCGGAAATCAAGATAACAAAACATATGTTTTGTGTCCTACGTTGCAGACGAGGACGTGTATCGGCGTTTTGAAAAGCATAATTATGTTCTTTCATTCATTCATTGCCATGGAATATGCGCTTACATTGTGTTTTTACTGTTAATAGCTCGATTAATGCGGCTGGAGATCAAAAGGCACTAAATTAAGTTTAAGTTAAGTTTACGTAATCAGTCTCTGTGGTGTAGTGGTTAGGTGTATTCGCGTCGAACCGATGGTGCCGGGTTAGAGTCCTACCGACCTCTTTTTCTCCTTCTTTCTTTTTTTTCCCGTTTTTTGTGTTGTTGTTTTCTATAAATATATAGCTAAATAACTGTTACTTAATAAAGTGCAATAAACAGCAAGAAAAGTATCGTGTTTCTAGAGAAAAGATAGTACACTGTATATTAAAGATATGGATAAACAATCTGAATTTCTATCATTTCCTACAATTTACTGTGGGAAAACCAGAGTTGATAACCACTTGATCATTTTCTAAACAACGTTCCCACGAGTTCTTTCTATAGACTGATAGTAATTATTCTAGTACTTTCCGACATGTAAATAGGACATTCAATGTCATTTTCGATGCTTTCAAGTCCCACTGCCTAACTAATGCCAGTATCAACAGAATGTGCCGCAGCATTACTATCTTTTAGATACCCTAATTCTAATTGTTCTAAAATAGGTATGATGAAGTCAAACATAACAAATAAAAAGCCACCAGGGGTCTTACATCCCAGCATAAAAAAATGAATTCAATTAACTTTCTAAAGGACGTACGGCCACTTTTGAGATTCAGACATGTAGAAAAACTGTTAACCTTGATGTCATTTCCACTCAAAACCTACCTTAAGAACAGACAAGACGCGTACATACTAGGCATGTATTGGGCTGCAGTAGTGGTCTAATATTTTTTATGCTGACCATGAGTCTTTAGCTACTCCTTTACCGAGAAACAGTAGTCCGAAAAATAAAGAGACAAAGAATGATACAAACATGGTATAAAATTAAAAACCACTTGTGTAAATTTTCATTAAATGGTTAAAATCATTGTCAAAATTTGGGACCTTGGAACATTTTCCAAGTGAAGTAGGTAGACGGACCTGTGAGGAATTAAGGTGAAAATTATAATACATGAAACTATTCGCATAACAAAAAAATGCTCTTGTTCGATTGTAGGAACAGTGCAATGCATAAACTTCCGAAGGTGGAGAATATAGGTTTATTGCCTTAAATAATTGTTCAGATGTTACTTCGCGCTAATTTTGGGCTAGCTTGTTGGTACAGTGCTTTTTGCGATAAATAACAGAAGCCTAAAATTGGCTAAGCATAAAGGTCCATTCAAAAAATTTTCCAGAAGAGTGTTCGGTTCATGGTTATCTTAGGCTTTGTAGCGCTGCTTTGGAATATTCGCCACACAATTAAATCTACTTTCTTAGGTGTGTTGGTGAATTTACCACCAGTTTAAGAGGGACTCTCCCTAAAACCGGTCCACTGCGTTTCGGGTCGTAAAATCAATTTTCTTTAAACTTTTCCCATGAATACATCTTAGTCCAAAAGTAATTGAAACCGC